CGGCTTAGGAAACAATTAAAACGAATAATAACATTGGAGGCAGTTTCTATGGGATGTGGACTGCAATTTCTTTTTTTTTTTTACACATGAAATATAATTAATCCTTTCATTTTTTTTAATTTTTTTTTTCAGGAAGTGATATGCCAGACCTAGAGTGTGTCAAATTGTACGGAATAGGGGGTTCCCCAAAAGATGCTCAACATGACGTCGTAACTTGCTCCGGCTTTGTATCAAAGCTGGATGGCGGCCGAGGAGCGGCAAGAGATTTTTGTAACCATGTGCTAATGGTAATGCAAAAGGCTAAGTCTGTTAATTCCCTGTAAAACTAAGATGATTTTGAAAAAACTTTTTAAGATTTTCCCTGATCACCTTTCAACAGCTTGAATTAATGTTTTTAAATATTTGACATATTTTGTTTTTAATATATTTAATTTTATCAATATTTCTACAGCTCAGTTAAAAGTTTATTATTTTCGGTATAAATTTAATTGTAATAAAATAGTTTTCAAATTTTAACATTGTTTTTTGGGGTTAATCAACTTTACAATTATTGCAGAAACTCAGTGATTATAAATGTTACGAAATATTACGGTATTTTATGTATACTGAGCCCACAGTATTTTGATGCTTGGCTACCATTGCGATGATCTTAGGTTTTAGTGCAGTGAATGCGAAGGCCTTTCCTCTTTACTAGGATGAACTTTACTCTATAAGACTCATAATAAGAGACTTAGTGTAAAGAGCAATGGTTCTCAAACGATGGGTCGTTTATAATACCGCTATTGCCTCGATATAAAATATGGTCACTCTTCAGGATTTCGTTTAAATTTTGTTTCATCATATTTGTCATAGCAAAAAGATCTCATTTTAAGTATCATTTAAACATTTTTCTTTCAGTTTTGGTTACCAGTTAATGACCTGTTTTAGTATCTATTTCTTTAGTGTCCGGGAAATTTCATGTATATTTAATTTTTATTTCTAAAATTTAGTAGTATATTCCAATGCTGACATTTTTAGTACAAGCTTTGATGTTGGTAGAAATTTGTCTTTTGTTTTATCAAATTTATTTTCAATAACACATTTGTATTGTTTCTATTTTAAGAAACAACTCAATAGTTCTTTACTTGTATTTTGTATCTATATTTATTTCTCTTTTGATTTCTGCCTCATAATATGTTGGCACTCTTACACATTTACTGATATTGAAAAGATGAATTTCTTCTCGATGTTAAACCTAATAACAATAGATTGTTTGGTTTGAGGAGTATCTTGATTATTACACGTATGGACAGCCTTAAACTACTAAATTAGACATTGTAACATTTATCTGATTACTTCTAAGTGAGGTACTTATATGACTGTATCTTGTCGTAAACAGTGTCATCTTTTATTTTGTTATAGTAAATATAACATACGAGATTTTACCGGCAGATTCAATAATCATTCCTTATTAGTCAAGGATATTTTATGTCTAAGCAGTGGCGGTGCCTGTGGAAGTTCAGGGGAGCACAGGACCGGCCCCACTCTCAGGAAAACCTGAAACCCCTATCAGGGAAGAACTCTATCATTTTGTCAGGGAGCTCTGCTTTGAACAAAGCATTCTTACAGTTAGAGTGCCATTTCCAGGCATGTAGAGGTTTTAAAATTTGCTCCTTCAATTGTTGGGCTAGAGATGGGTGTGGACTTCTGTTGGGGATCACTTTTCAGGAACCTTTGATCCCTGTCGTCGCAACCTTTAACCCCTCATCTGAAGCACTGTCCAGACTATCAAATTTTATTTGACAAAAACATGACATTCCTAAATATGGTCATGAAGACTGACCATATATAGGCACATCATGCCTATATATGGGAATACAGCCCAATCGCTGACACTGTGTCTAAATTAATTATAATACAACATGCACAACAGCTCATTCAAGTTTTTGCTTGCATTTTAACTCAGAAACTAATAAAGTTTGATGAACTTGTAAACAGGGTTAAATTTTGTAAGCATGATGGCTTGTTCTATAGTAAACTAAAATGAATTTTAATCCACAAAAGTATGTAATAATAATAATAATAATAATAATTCTTATATAGCACATAATATAATAAAATATAACCATGAAATATTCTAATGCTACATGGAAATCAAAAAAAGAAAATGGCAAGAAAGCAGTATAATCACTTTCACTGCTCTGTTCTCCAACACTTTGAAGCTTAATATTAAAGGCTCGCTGGAACAGTACTCATAGGAGCTCTGGTGAAAATGACGTCTAGCTAGCCTATCCTACAATATTAATACAAAAATCCAGTGAGAGCAAGATTGCCAGAAAACAATACAAGAGGAGAAAAATATGACTTGAAAATGTGTTTTTTAAGGGACTTCTTAAACATTTCAACTGACGTTGAATTTTTTATATCCTCCATGAAACATCTTAATAGGAGTGATTCTGTATAAAAGCTGATTCAACTGTAATAGGCATCTTTGTTGTAGAAGGTGCATTTCAAATATGTACATAATCACATATTTTCTTTGGTCACACATTAGTCACTTTTTATGCATTAACATTTTTTAATACCGAATCCCCATGATGGAATTTGATGTTTTAACATTTATGTGCTCATGCACTGTTTTGACGTAAATTAAATGACGTAATTAAGGAACATGGATTATCAGTCAGGTACTCAAAAGCTAGGGTGGGTTTATACCAGAAGGTAGACCTTTACTCAATGTCCCTACAATAATAATGGTTTGACCCAGCAATACGTTTTCCCAAATATGGAGAAATTATGACATTTGCAATTAGTTTTACTGATGAAACGTATTGTAAATAGAATGTCTTTTTAACTAAGGTCATATAGTATTATTGTAATAAATTTTACAATTATATCGAAGTATTGTTGCTTCTTGTTATTGTTGTACTGTATAATATTAATCATTTTAACCAACATTGTTGTGAAATAATGCAGGTATAAATAATGTATTAATCAGTGAACATGTATTTATAAAGCAACGGTATCAGAATACATTACCATTTCTCTAAAGCGTGGCACTTACACTGGGCACTCATTACGAATCCAACTCCACCCCTTTACCTTGAGCACTAGGTGACATCTGTTGATTTTGGTGAGAGTGGATGGTCAATAAAAAATGATTTGTTGCGCATGTGTTGTGGCGAGTGAGGGCCCTACTTAAGTGTACATACGAGATTACTCAGATTAATTGCATGAAATATATATATATGAAAACGGCTTTATAATCTCATCCATCTGCGCACATTATGATCTGTGGTGATTTTAATGTTCACCGCAGACAATGGCTCATTCTTTCTACAACTACTGAGTTGCCTGGTATTCTGTCATTTGACTTTGCTCAATCCTACGATCTAGAGCAGATCGTCAAATGACCAACTTGTTGTCATCCATACCACACTTGTTCACTGGTCCAGAAATACCGTACTGACTTCTGTTAAAGATAAAGCAGTATCCTTGCTAAAAGTTTTGCTGCTAATTCGACCTTGCAGGACGATGATCGTCTACTTCCACCATTTCATCAGATGGTTGAAAACAACAAACTTCCAACAGTTTATGCCCTTGCACTTGTTATGGAATGAATTCATCGGGTTTTGGACAATGGTGTACAATATACAGTACAATTATTGCTTCTTGCACGATGTTTAAATCTGCCACATAATTGTTATATAATGCTAAACCATATGATCCTATGAGGGAACAGTAAACGACTTGACGCGAGGTATAGTATGCCTATAACCTTATGAATTCACCTGAAGTGTGTGTGTGTGTGTGTGTATATATACTGTCTCTTATACACATCTAGATGTGTATAAGAGACAGGCTTTGAACAAAGCATTCTTACAGTTAGAGTGCCATTTCCAGGCATGTAGAGGTTTTAAAATTTGCTCCTTCAATTGTTGGGCTAGAGATGGGTGTGGACTTCTGTTGGGGATCACTTTTCAGGAACCTTTGATCCCTGTCGTCGCAACCTTTAACCCCTCATCTGAAGCACTGTCCAGACTATCAAATATATGCCTAGGCCTATATATGAAAGCTGCATCTGGCAGTGTGACAGGATAAAATACAAAAAAATAAAATGCTTGTGATCTACATCAGTAGAAATTTATACATCGTCTTATGTGCGACATACAAATACAGTATTAGATTTTGTAATAAACTTACTACTGTATAATAAGCTACGGTACTAAATATTAGGAATAAACGAAATTTAAATACTGTACTGGGAAATAGGATTTTGATGAACATTTCAAAGGCCATAAAAAAGATTATCCCAACATTTGGCTCCGTTTTTAGCTAGTTAGGCGAGACTTTTTTATTCCTTGTTTCGTGTACTTACTTTTATGCTTCAAATTTATATAATTAGGAAGAAACATACATATTTTATTTTTGGAGATTTCAAGGCAGTGGAGGGAGAAATAGAAATTTTTATTTTTTTCTGAAATTTCCACTTTTTCGTAGCGGCGGGTGCGCTCATTGGCCAAAAATAAAATTTTATTTTTATTAGAAATCATCAATATTTGCAGTCGGCGGGTTCGCTAAACAAGATATTATAAAAGTCTCGCCTTAGATCCCGTATCAAAAACATAAAGACGACGATGGTGGTGGTGTGGGGGAGGGGGGTCGTCTTATACGCCTGACATACAAAAATCGTCTAAAAACTTTCTTAAACTCGAATGTCGTCTTATGCGGGAGTATATTCGGTAATCACTCAAGGAGCAGACACAAAAAATTAATTTGTGATTTCAGTGGTCAAAACGTCTCTAAATACCTAGGCGATCAAAGAGCCCATGCTGACACTTAGACACGATGTTTCGAAGTGTATAGCATACATTCCTGGAAAACCAGGTGACTAAAATTAGGACCTTCGGACCAAAGATCCTTCGGACCTACGAGCCTTTGAAGCAAAGACTCGAACCAAAGTTACGCACCCGCTAACGACGTCCAGCAGATTCCTTACACCTGGGGCAGTAGGCCTACTTCATAGATCCACCATTTGATCCTGTTTAGAGTACTGTTCCCATGTTTGGTGTGGAGCTCCTGCCTGTCATTCTCTTTTTGATAAAATTCAACGTCGACTTCATCTGATTGGACCAGAGCTTGGTTGTAGGTAGGAACTTTTTGCGCAATTTTGCTTGTTTCAGTTTATTTTATCGTTATTTTAATCGCCATTGCTCTGAAGAGCTTTTTCAACTCATTCCATCCGTTCGTAGTTTTTTAAGAAACACCAGATTTGCTTCTATCTGCGCCATCCGTTTACTTTTGAACTTAAATGCATAACCTCCACTTTTTCAAATTCATTTTTTCGCCGTTCAGTTCTCTTTGGAATAATTTGTCAGCTGATTGTTTTCCAGTTTCCTTTTATCTTCATATTTTATATCATGTGTCAACCGTTTTTTTTTTAACTACCCTAACCCCTTAACTTCAGTGGCCACTGAATATAAAACAAATACTGGAGAACAACAATCCTGAACCACTTCTGAATGCATCCTGAAGTAGAGATATTTCTGACTCAGATACCCTGATTCCGAAGGCCTGTGAACCCATGCCTCACCCTGGCAGAACTATACATCTCGGGAGGGACCATAAAACTATGTTCTTAAGAGAAACATTGTACTCAGCCAGGGCTTGGATATTCGACTTCCATCTAAAGGTCTGTCCCACTCAATCCATCAATTGCCAAATGTGAAAGAAAAATGCAAACATGAAAAAAGTAGTTGAATATGTTCAACTTTTTAAATACAATTTGATATGTGATATGACGTCATCGTGGCCATATATGGGGACATGCAGCATTTTTGTCACAGAAAATGTCATAGTAGGGGACAAAGCTAAATACCAACTTAGCATACCGTCATTATTAACATTTCTCCACTTGATTATTTACACAGGAATTTTACATAAACAAAAACAATTCAATATCATTAATAATATGAATTCAATAATAACATAATTGACAATAATATTTTTAATTACGATTCTGACAAATTTTCATTGTTATGAAAGAAGAAACAAGGTTATTTAAAATTAGGTCTGAATATTCATATAATTTTGAATGTTATTATAATAGGTGGAGCCGTCTTAGTTAGGTATGACTATGTAATCTGCACCTGATGAGCCAGCATAGACGGCTGGAGAAGCTTGTTTAATTTTACATCATCATTTATTGCTAGGGCGCCACCTAACGGCAAGTACACGTTAGTGCAGGATTTTTACCTAATAATAATAAAACCTTTTCACAAATTGCATAGAATGTATGCAAAAACATAGAAACGGTAATTATTCTAGTCGTTTATTAAATTGATAATGTATTTTCTTGTTCTAATTTTTTAATTCAAAAATAATGACTTTTGTATGGTGTCGATTTGGAGTCAGGCTCCGGAGGAAACAAATTTTGGATATGTTGTAGGCCTAGAACTGATTATTCAAAAACAAAAAAAAAGTTGTTTGACGCAAAACTAGGGAATGGTGAATGAGATAGAGATTTTTGAATATTTAAACACTGGGGGAAAAGGGGCGTAACCACCCAATTTTACACCTTTTATCCCCCAGTTTTTAAATATTCAAAAATCTGTATCTCATTCACCGTTCCCCAATTCTTCGTCAAACTACTTTTTTTCTGTCTTAGAAAAATCAGATCTACAACATATCAACATTTTGTTTCCCTCCGGAGTCTGACTTTATTACAACAATAGCGAGGGCAAGCCTACTATGACACAAACTCAAACGAGTGCGAAAAAGTTGGCTGACGCGCGTATACGTCTGAAGCGTGCTATGTGTAAACTATAGCTTTAAAGAGTGTTTATATTATTATTTTCTAACAGGCACACAGTATAATTAGTGTGATTCAGAAACCTATAAACTGTAGCATGAGTTTATAATGTGTTTCTGTATTTTATTGGATATTAAATTTGTGAGGATATTCTAAATAAAAATTGAGGTGAGCTCTCGTCAAACGATATGGTCTCGCACATGTGTGACGTCATAGCGTAACATAGAAGCATACATTGACACACATAGCGTGCTCTGGGTTTATGTTGCTGTATACTATACTTAAGGTTAGGAAGTTGAAATCGTGATGTTTTAGCTGTATTGTCGGAAGTTGGGTTGGGTTGCCAAACACTTTACAGCCTTTCATGTAAATGATAGGTCCCTGAAACTAGGACTCGTTCTATTTGACATATCGATGCCTGGTGATGATTACATTTTCTGTATCAAACAAATACAATGTAAAAGACAGTGAATGATTTAATGCTTTAGAAAAGTTTATTATTATCATTAATTTATCCGTAATAATTATTAGTAGTACCGTAGTTATAATGGAATTATTATTATAAGTAATATTTATAAAATTAATAATAATAATTTTGGTGATGATAACGATGATAATAATGATTATGATAATGCTAATGCTGCTTATTGATAACGTTAATGCCAATCTAATAACATAGGTAACGATAATGATAATAATAATGATGAAAATTATAATTTATCTATATATCATCATTATTATTATTATTATTATTATTATATTATTATTATATTATTATTATTATTATTATTATTATTATTATTATCATTTGTTATTACTATCATCATTTGTTATTATTAATATTTTTATTATCATAATATCATCATCAAATACACCCGCATCCAGAATAACCAGGTAGGTGAAAGTTCCATGAAAACCTTGACGACCGTAATAAATTAACAGCATATTATTATTATTATTATTATTATTCTTATTCTTATTCTTATTATTATTATTATTATTATTATTATTATTATTATTATTATTATTATTATCACATTATTTATTATTATTATTATTATTATTATTATTATTATTATTATTATTATTA